TGTATAAGGAAGCAGAAGTCATTGTAACACAAAAATATTCACTGACGAAGCGGTTGACTCATGCCATTTAAAGTCCTTTCTTTCTTCAAGCTTGAACTTATTTCCACTAATTTGGCTACTGTCACTGTCTCTGTGCTGTGGGATATTATAATGCAGATAGGGTGGGAAGTTACTTCTTAAGATCGTTGAAAGACACTGTAGATCTCTGTGATCACTGACAAGTCTGTCTCCGTTGGACCAGTTGAAAAACTGATGAATAAAAGAATCAATAAAGATAATGAAAGGCTAGGCATTCAGAGAAGAGTGATTGAATATAATGTAATATTTAAAGCTGAATATTAACATTGCCTTTCAGGAACATTGATGTAGCTCCCAATAAGTGTTAACACCATGATGGTGCCATGTAAGTCAAGATGAAACAAAGGAGATGATGTGCTATTATGTATCATTGTGATAGAAGAATTGCATTCCCTCTCAGCAAACACACAAAAGTCCACTGCTTTTATTCATTCTTTGATTTAGTCATTCTGTGATCTGTGATAACAAGGAACACCTGTATTGAAGTTTGTCATAATTCTCTAGACTTTTATATTTGCTACAATAAATAACCAGTAACCACATTTTCCTACCAAGTAAGCATATGCCTTAGAAAGGCTATTATAATTTTATCCAAAATTAAGTACATGCTTTAAAAGACCTATAAGCAGGCTGGTCGTGGTGGCTCATGCCTGTAATCCCAGCACTTTGGCAGGCTGAGGTGGGCGGATCACTTGATGTCAGGAGTTTGAGACTAGCCTGGCCAACATGGTGAAACTTCGTCCCTACTAAAAAAATACAACAATTAGCCAGGCATGGTGGGATGTGCCTGTAATCCCAGCTACTTGGGAGGCTGAGTCAGGAGAATCGCCTGAACCTGGGAGGAGGAGGCTGCAGTGAGCCGAGATTGTGCCATTGCACCCCAGCCTGGGCAACAGAGCAAGACACTGTCTCAAAACAAAACAAAACAAAAAACAAGAAAAAGAACTATAAGTAGAAATTATAATACTTTTTTATAAATAAATAATTTTTAACCATTTTAAAATCTTAACAGTTCATAGCTGGGCATGGCGGTGCATGCCTGTAATCCCAGCTACTCGGGAGGCTGAGGCTGGAGAATTGCTTGAACCCAGGAGGCAGAGGCTGAGGTGAGCCAAGATTGCACCACTTTGCTCCAGCCTGGGCGGCAGACTATGACTCTGTCTCAAAAAAAAAAAAAATCTTAACAGTTCAATATATTAATATAAGGTATCACTTCTCTTCTGCAGTTCTTCAGGCCACATTTCTCACATTCTTCTCACTCTTTGATATAATAGCTGGTGACCATTAGGTTGGTCTATGCAAAATATCTTTGCTAATTTGCTAAAATGAGTTTTTAATTATATGCTAATCTGTGCTTTTAATTATCCTAGCTGTCATATGAATTAATCAGCTTCTGGAGTACTTGTATTTGCCATTCTCTGAAATCCCTCTCACATTTTACATGAACTTGAATTACCTGGGGATCCTCTTAAAATGCAGATTCTGAATCAAAAGTCAGAAGGTGGCTCTGCATTTGGCACCAGTTCCCATGCCATGCCAGTGCTGCTGGCCTTCAGACTATACTTTGAATAGCAAGGCGTTCAGTAACATTTTGGGGATCAGAAGCTATTGAAGCCATTTCTTATTATGATATCTTAAATACCTAGTTTATTAGTAATGTATATTTTTCAATTAGTGATATATATGTTGAATTATGACTTGCAGTATGTAATTTTTTAAAATAATTTTTGTGTCAGGCAATGATCTACAGTGGTGGTATTTGTAGACAATGGTGTTGACAAACTGTAAAAATACTTTACAAAAAGGTTTATTCTAAGATGAATATGAAGGACCATGGCCTGAGGCATAGTCTCAAGAGGTCCTGAGAACATGTGTCCAAGGTTGTTGGGTTACAGCTTGGTTTTATACATTTTAGGGAAACATCTTATGTCTCAATCAATACATGTGAGGAATGCATTGGTTTGGTCTAGAAAGATAGGACAACTCAAAGAGGGAGTTTACAGGTTATAGGTAGATTCAAAGATTTTCTGATTGGCAGTTGATTGAAAGAGTTAAGTTATCTAAAAACCTAGAATCAATACAAAGGAGTGTTTGGTTTAAGTTAAGGGAGTCTAGAGACCAAGGTTCTTATTATGTAGATGAAGTCTCACAGGTGGCTACCTTTCGAGATAATAGATGGCATAATGTTTCTTATTTAAACCTTTAAAAGGTATAATCCTAGCATTTTGGAGGCCAAGATGGGAGGATCACTTGACCTTGAGTTCAAGACCAGCTTGGCCAACATAGTGAGACCTTGTCTCTATTTTTTTTTTTTTGAGACAGAGTTTCACTCATGTTACCCAGGTTGGAGTGCAATGGCGCGATCTCGGCTCACCGCAACCTCCGCCTCCTGGGTTCAGGCAATTCTCCTGCCTCAGCCTCCTGAGTAGCTGGGATTACAGGCACGCACCACCATGCCCAGCTAATTTTTTGTATTTTTAGTAGAGATGGGGTTTCACCATGTTGACCAGGATGGTCTCGATCTCTTGACCTTGTGATCCACCTGCCTCGACCTCCCAAAGTGCTGGGATTACAGGCTTGAGCCACCGCGCCCGGCCTCTATTTTTTTTTTAATTAAAAATAAAAATAAAACGTGCTAGAGACTGGGCATGGTGACTCATACCTGTAATCTCAGCACTTTTTGAGGTGGAAGTGGGAGGATCATTTGAGGCCAGGAATTGACTAGCCTGGGTAACACAGCAAGACTCTGTCTCTACAGAAATATTAAAAAATTATCCAGCATGCTGGTGTATGTCTGTTGTCCCAGCTACTCAGGAGACTGAGATAGGAGGATGACTTGAGGCCAGGAGGTTGAGGCTGCAGTGAGCCATGATCGCGCCACTGAGCTCCAGCCTGGGCAAGATACTGTGTCCAAACAAACAAAAATAAATAAAATAAATACATTAAAAAGGTGCTAGACTCTCCATTATTCTCTTCAGGACTGGGAGGGCCCAGAAAGGGAAAGATCTAGTTATGTTATAGAGACTCTTTACAGATGCAGAATTTACCCTCACAAAAGACAGTTTTGCAGGGCCCTTTCAAAATATGGCAAAGAAACATTTTGGGTAAAATATTTTTATTCCTTATCAGTCACGTGATGTTATACCAGAGTCAGGTTGGAAAGTAAGCCACACTATACATGGTTAAATAAGACCCATCTGATGAGATTTTATTGTTTAAAGAGCATGACTCCCCAGGCCCTTTAGATAGGAATTTGGGCAAGAGAGGAAAACAAAGGTCAGAGTTTAGTCCTCAACGATAACATACCGATGATGATACACTAGTTAATATGTATTGCCTACTTATTATGCCCCAGACACCATGCTTTAGAAAGGTTAACTAAATTTTCTCAATAAAACCATGAAGTAGATGCTATTATTGTTGTCCTCATTTACAAATGAGGAGGCTGAGGCTGGTAAGAAGGTAGTGAGTTATTGCAACTGATTATTCACATCAGTTACAGACTGAAAGCCTTGCTCTACTGTCTTCCCCCTTCTCACTGCTGCACTGGCCTTGTCTGATAATAACAATAATAATAAGAAACAAGTTTAGTGACTTGCTCATGATAGCACAGCTGGACGACAGAGCCATGGCATCAACTCCAGAGCTTGTACCTGTAATCTCTTTACTAGTCTGACAGTTCAGAAACCACAGACTTTATATGACATGTATACGAACTCTCTAGGTTGTTAAACAATTCATGTAAGATAGAGTTGAATTTTCTAGCTTTTTTTCCCAAAAGGCCTTTGAAAAGCAATTTTCTTTTCCTCAGGTTTTCCTTTCTATGGCTTTCCCATAGATACTGATAATTTGTGATTCCTTACCAGTTTTTTTTAGTCTTCTATGCTGCATATGTGTGTTAATTTGTGCATATGTGAAAAAGTATCTCAACTTTCGTATTCCTTTGCTGCAAAAATTTATGAAGAATGAAAAGTAGATAGTATCCTGCCCTGAATGAAAGATAAAAGTATTCTTATTAATGTTGAAAATTTATTTTCTACCAGAGAATAGCCCAGAAAAATAAAACAGATGGAATGTTGCAGAAGACTGATTGATTGTTTTTTTTGTTTTTTGTTTTTTTTTTTGAGACCGAGTTTCGCTCTTGTTGCCCAGACTGGAGTGCAATGGTGTGATCTTGGCTCACTGAAACCTCTGCCTCCCGGGTTCAAGGATTCTTCTGCCTCAGCCTCCCAAGCAGCTGGGGCTACAAGCATGCCCCGCCACGCCTGGCTAATTTTTTGTATTTTTAGTAGAGATGGGGTTTCACCGTGTGGAACAGGACGTTCTCGAACTCCTGGCCTCAAGTGATCCACCCACCTCAGCCTCCCAAAGTGCTGGGATTACAGGCATGAGCCACTGCGCCTGGCCAATTCTTTAAAAAATTTAAACAAAAAATTTTATTGTAATAGTTTTTGGGATCATACTGATTGATTCTTATGTAGGTTCTTAACATTTTGAAAAATTTTTTTCTTCATTCATAGGGTAATGGTAATCTATTGACTTGTGTGGAGACATACCTTTCACTCCAAGTTCTCCTGCTAAATCACCAAATGATCTTAGAGAAGCCAGGAGCCCCTCTCTCCAGCTGCTAGGCCTGTCAGATGTTAGCATTTGAGATACGCAGTACTTGAGCCGTCTGTCAGCATGTTAAGGAGAAACAAACACAGGGGAAGACTTCGTATTGCTAACATGTACAGGCATTTGTACAAATTTGCAAAAATGAGTGGAAGTTGTTTAAGATTAGAAAAGTTTGGCACTTCAGTTGCAGTTTATTTTGGAAATCAATAAACCTAGAATAGGTTGCAATAAATAACATAGCTAACATGCGGCATCTCAAAGTAATATGAGGCTATTAACTTTCATTATCTCTCTTTCTTTTACAGTCTATCAATATTATGGAACTGACTTTACAGAAATATGGAAGTTATGAAAAATTTGAACAAGCCACTGGTGGTAGCTTGCTCTCTAAAACTCGAATCTGGAGTCACGTTAGGAGGTACATGATGAAGGAAGGCTGCCTAGGGGAGGTATGAATCATAAGTGAACACGAGGAGTTACTGTCAGTAATAGTCAGTTGTAGTTATTGTATTGCATTGTATTGTATTGTACTGTATTGTATTTATTTTATTTTTCGAGACGGAGTCTCGCTCTGTCACCCAGGCTGGAGTGCCTTGGTGCAATCTCGGCTCACTGCAACCTCCGCCTCCCAGGCTCAAGCGATCCTCTTGCCTCAGCCTCCTGAGTAGATGGAGTTCCCCCCTAGAACACAAGGAGTTACTGTCAGTGATAGTCAGTTGTGGGCATTGTATTGTATTATACTGTATTGTATTTATTTTAGTTTTTTAGGCGGAGTCTCGCTCTGTCACCCAGGCTGCAGGGCAGTGGTACAATCCTGGCTCCCTGCAACCTCCACCTCCCAGGTTCAAGCGATACTCTTGCCTCAGGCTTCCTAGTAGCTGGATGATTTGGCTGTACATTCCATCTTGGTTTCTGGGACATTTAAGGTGGTTATAAACAAAACAACATTGTTAATTTGCAGGCCCATTTTTTCTTTGAAAGCTTCTCTGCCTACCTTTATGTTTTGTTTATGTCTGTGTACTTTTATTCTTGCCCTTAGATTGTAGTTCATCTCACTGAGGACCTGCTTTCCCGAGCATCAATGACAGTAGTAAATGGATGTCCGACTCTGACCATCAATGTATCCACTGCACGTGAACATTGGCTGGAGGGAATGCTAAGGCATGAAATAGGTAGGGGTAACCCTTTCCATTTGTTTATTTGTAATATCAGGAATTAACTCTAAAGAAATGTTCTTTTAGAATGGGTTTTTTTCTTAGTAGTATTTATTTTTTTAGTAGAAGAAAATTTAGCAAAAAGTCATGAGCTTCACTTGGACTCATTTCAAATTAGATTTTTAAAAGGAAATGTTTAGGTTATTCAATCTGGAAAGTCATTTAATTGCTCTGGATTTGCCCTACAATTAAACTGAGGGGATTGAATTAAGGTATCTTTGAGGTTCTTTCAAATATCAAGTCTGTGATTCTTCTCTTTAAAAAAGTAAATTCTTAGAAAGGTTATACCTCCTCTCTTGAGACATGTGATCCTTTTGAAGACAGTGCATGCTCCTTCATACCCAAGAGATATTAGAGTCAGGTCATTTTCTACTTTGTTTTGATTTGTATGCACACATTAATTTGGTGTTAGAATTTTTTTTTTTTTTTTTGAGATGGGATTTTGCTCTGTCACGAAGTCTTGAGCACAGTGGCACGATCTCAGCTCACTGCAACCTCTGCCTCCTTGGCTTAAGTGATTCTCCTCACCCCAGCCTTCTGAGTAGCTAGGGTCCCAGGTGCATGCCACCACACCTGGCTAATTTTTTGTATTTCTAGTAAATATGGGGTTTCACCATGTTGCCCAGGCTGGTCTCAAACTCCTAAACTCAAGTGATCTGCCCTCCTCAGCCTTCCAACGTGTTGGGATTAGAGGCATGAGCCACTGTGCCCAGCTGGTTTTAGAACTGTTGATGAAATCTATCTTTTGGGGAAGAATTAAAACAAAAATGGCATTTCTGCTTCATGTAACTTTTCTTCTCCATAGGCACACATTATTTTCGAGGTATTAACAACCTCCAGCAGCCTTGGAACAATTGGACTGGACGTAAAAAACATGAGCTAAAGCCAAATAATCCCACAGAGGAAGGACTAGCAAGCATTCACAGTGTTCTGTTTAGAAAAGACCCCTTTTTATGGAGGGCTGCCCTCCTCTACTACACTGTTTATCGAGCCAGCCAAATGTCTTTTTGTGAACTCTTCAAAGATATTGGCAGGTTTGTCAAGGACCCCAATACAAGATGGGATTATTGTGTACGGGCCAAGAGGGGATGGACTGATACTTCCCAACCAGGTGGGTGTCCCTTAACTGTAGGTTTTCTGACTTACTGAGTAGTTGTCTAGAGATTTTGTTTATATCCTAATCCTTGAATCACAAAATTCACTCACTTTTGAAAAATTAAGCCTTTGTTACCTGAGGTCAGAACTGGTTTTCCCAAATCACATTTTCTTAGCATTATTTTTGCCCAGCTCAATTTTGAAAAATCTCAGACCTACAGAATATGGAAAGAATGGTAAAGTGAGCACCCATCTACCCTTCATCTGGATTCACCTATTGTTAACATTTTGCTATTTTTGCTTTCTCTGTCTTTGACTTTTTAAAAACAGCTATACTGAGATATAATTTACATGCTATACAGTTTAACCATTTAAAATGTACAGTTCACTGATTTTTAGAATATTTGCAGAGTTGTGTAACCATCACCACTGTCTAATTCCAGAATGTTTTCATTGTCCCAAAAGAAACCAATACCCATTAGCATTCATTCCCCATGTTTTCCTCTTCTCTCCAGCTCTAAGCAACTGCTTTTGGTGTTATTTTCATGTCTGTAGGTTTACCTATTTTGAACATTTCATATAAATAGAATTATCTAATATGTGATTCTTTGTGGTGGGCTTCTTTCAGTTAGCATGATGTTTTCAAAAGTCATTCATGTTGTAGCACGTATCAATATTTTGATCATTTTATTGCTGGGAGGTAGGCAGTCCCCTAGCAGAGCTCAAGCACTGTGCTGGGAGATCCGCTGCTCTCTTCAGCGCCAGCAGGCAGGAATGGTTAAGTCTGCTGAAGCTGCGCCCACATCTGCCCCTTCCCCAGGTGCTCTGACCCAGGGAGATGGGAGTTTTATCTATAAGCTCCTGACTGGGGCTGCTGCCTTTCTGTCAGAGATGCCTTGCCCAGAGAGGAGGAAGAACCTAGAGAGAGAGTCTCCATTTTTATTTTTTTTTGAGATGGAGTTTCACTCATGTTGCCCAGGCTGGAGTACAATGGTGCCATCTCAGCTCACTTCAATCTCCACCTTCTGGGTTCAGGCGATTCTCCTGCCTTAGCCTCCCAAGTAGCAGGGACTGAAGGCATGCACCACCATGCCCAGCTAATTTTGCATTTTTTCATAGAGATGGGGTTTTGCCCTGTTGGCCAGGCTGGTCTTGAACTCCTGACTCCAGGTGATCCACCCATCTTGGCCTCCCAAAGTGCTGGGATTACAGGCATGAGCCACTGTGCCCAGCCTAAGAGTGTTTTTAAACTATTTATTTGGAGCTTGATAAATACTTACTCAAATTAGTGATGGTTATGTTGCTAGCACAGCCCACATTAACATTTCGTACTAGTGATGTAATCGTATGACAGTGTAGTGCCTTAGAGCCAGGAGCAGGCAAGATAGGAAGCAGGAAAGAGAAGGACATCTCTCCCTTGTCTTTCTTGTGTGCACAGCCAATTCCAGGCGGGATTTCAGACAAACAGCATGTCTGCCATTTCTTCTATTCTTCTCAATATTCTTAGAAGAAAATTTGTTGATCTATTGAACTAACCTGAAATTCAAAATAACTTTTAAACAAATGTTTCTTAATTTATATTCTTTTTTTCAAGGGCATTTTTGAGTGTTCTTTTTAGATTCCTTTGCTTGCATTTTAGTACTCTGTTCTCAGATGCACAGGGCTTCCGTGTTGCCTTTGATACGCTACCCCGTGGAGGCTCATCACTTTTAGACTAGTCCCTTTTTTCTTTTCTTCACATATTTTTGTGTTTTTCATGTTTTATTTTGGAAAATTTTAAATGTATACAAAAGAATTATTAATATGCTGAACTCCAGTAATAATTACCTGATCATAATAATTATCAATATTTTTTAAACTGTGGTTCAGCTATTCTTCCAAATTCATTTTCCTTTAGTATTTTAAAGCCAATTCCAACATCATGTCCTTTTCCCCATAAATATTTTGATATGCATCTCTGATTACGACCATTTTTTAACAATCCTCATGCTATTAGCCTACCTAACAAAACTAACAATAATTCCTTAATATATGACTCCATGTGATAGGATTTTAATTCATTTAATAGAGTAAAATTTTTTTTTAATTACGCAAGTTACGTCAGGATGGGAAAAAGGTTTACTGTGTAAATAGAACATCCTTTTCTAACTAGGTTCAGATCTCATGGAAATGTCTTACTTTTCATATCTTGATTCATTTTGTTCAATTTTTAAACCTACATGCTCTTCAAAATCTAGTTCTAGTTCTTGTTTACATAGAGAGAAACAGTATCAAAATTTATGCTTTAAAACCATAGTTTGTTTTTGATTAATGGAGGGGACGGGTTATTATATTCTAAATACCAGGAGTTTCTAAAATTCTGCATCTCTCCACTATCTTTATTGAGGCCTATTTGCTCTAAAACTATCCTGCTCAGGCCTCCCCACTCAGATGCCTTCAGTGCACAATGGGAGTTATGACTGAATGGTGGGAGTAGGGGAAAATGAGATCATTGTATTTCTAAGAGTCATATATTTAAAATTACCAGTCTCTATTTATAATTAGGAAAGGACTGTTATTTTAACAATGGGGAGGATGTGTGAGGAGAAGGAATTCTTAAGCTTTTAGTCTGCATACTATCCTGGCAGTTTCCAAGACTTGACATTTTATGTAATAAAGATAGTTAAAAATAAATGTTGGCAAACTGGAATATTTTTAATACAGGACTGATTTCTACAGTAAATGTAATGGGTTGATATCTAATTACTTAGTAATTTTTTTACACATCAGAAAGTAAACACTATTCTGGTTCCTCCAGGGTGTTTTAGTAAAGACCAGGTATACTTGGATGGAATTCTTCAAATCCTGCGATACAGAGAGACCATAGACTTCTATCTGCTAACTGCCCTCGGGAAGGTGAGTAGAAGCCATAGCACATAGTCCCCAAACACACCAGATTAGCATTTCCCCTCACTTGAGTTTAGGATTAAATAAGACTCAGATTCACACTATTTTTACTTTATTGTTGGAATAAATTTTCTTTATTTCATAACAAGAGGGAAGAAATCTGGTTCTGTAATAGAACCAAATTGTAAAATTTCTTTTTGGTCAATAAGAGATAAAGAATAGGAATTTGGGAATATATATAGTTTTATTTTTATTTGTATATACTTTTTTTTTTAAAAAAAAAAAAAAGCATTTTCTGAAAACTATAAAAGCATTTTGAAGTAAGCTGCAGCTATCACACTTCCCCCCATAATATCTCATAAGAAAAGGATATTTTCTGACATGACCATATGATTTTGTTTGATATTATTGATTAAATATAACATCTAAAATACAGTCCACTTCAGTTTTTCCAAAGTGCTTCCCAAATGTCCTTTGTAGCTCTTCTTTTGTGATCCCAGATCCAATCAAGATTTAGGTATTACATTTGGTTATAATCTTTCATCTCTTTTAATCTGTAATAGTCTCCCCTTGCCTCATTCTTGCTTTATTTTCATGACATTTTTAAGACTTGGGCTTAGCGAGGTGGCCCATGCCCATAATCCCAACACTTTGGGAGGCCAAAATGGGAAGCTGAGGCTGGAGGATCACTTGAGGCCAGGAGTTTGAGAGCAGCCTGGGCAACATGGGGAAACCCTGTCTCTCTAAAAAATTGGCCGGGCAAGGTGGCACATGCCTTAGTCTCAACTACTCGGGAGGCTGAGGTGGGAGGATCACTTGAGCCTAGGAGGTCAAGGCTGCAGTAAGCCATGATCGTACCACTGCACTCCAGCCTGGGAGACAGAGACAGACCCTGTCTCAAAAAAAAAAAAAAAAAAAAAATGATTGGCACAGTTTTCTTGAAAATTCCTACAATATGGATTATCAGATTGTTTCCTTCTGATGAGATTCAGGTTAAACATTTTTGCCAAGAATACTGCATAAGTGATGTGCATTTCCCATTCCATCACAATAGAGAAGGTGCGTGTCATTTTGCCCCATTTGATCACCAGGGTGTTTGATTGCCTGCTGTGTTTGATCAACTGGGTTAAGTTAGTAACCACCAGATCTCCCCATTATAAAAGTACCTTTCCCCCATTATATTAATAAATAGTCTTTGGGATGATATCTATGAATGGGCTATTATTCCCTAAGAACCCTTGATGATCTTTTCCCAAATCAATTATTATACTGGTAGTAACAAAATAGAGGTCTTCTAATTCTTTTATATTTCTTTGTCACTCCCTGTTTTTGTAGTATTATTATGGACTTAATTAAAATTATTTTTTAATTCAACTTTTTCATGGCTGCTCCTGTGTCTTAAACAGGTCTCCAGGTTTTCTGGCGTAGTAAAATGTCTGGGCACAGCTTCTAGTTTTCCTACCCAAATCTAAGATCAGCTATTTCTCTAATGCAGTCTTGTTTCCTGTTAATTGGTATTTTTTAAAACAGAAGCTGAGTTCTTGGTGTGTCCCTTGCTATTGGAGTACTCTTGCTTCTAGACCTTTTCAGTGAGCAAATCATATCTGCTTTTTAAATCATAAGGGCACTGCAATTCACATCAGACCCTACAAGATTCCTTCATAACCTCCTCTCCCATTCTGTATTTGTATCTACCATCTCTTAAAATGAGAACCTTCTTTCCCAATGTCTGTCAGTATATTTACTCTTTCCTATAACAAACTGAGAATAATTTAAGAATTACTAAGCCATACCAATATCGACACACCTATTTTGATTACATGTAGTGGTATAAATACCAAATAAAATAAATAATGTTAATAATAGTAAAACTTTAAAAACCTTAATAAAATATAGATATAATATGAACATGAGTTTATTTATTTATTTATTTTTGAGATGGAGTCTTATTTCGTCACCCAGGGCGGAGTGCAGTGGCGCAATCTTGGCTCACTGCAACCTCCCACCTCCCGGTTCAAGTGATTTTCCTGCCTTAACCTGCCAAGTAGCTGGGATTATGGGCACCTGCCACCACACCCAGCTAATTTTTGTATTTTTAGTTGAGACAGGGTTTCACCACATTGGCCAGGCTACCCTCAAACTCCTGACCTCAAGTGATCATCCCACCATGGCCTCCCAAAGTGCTGGGACTACATGTGTGAGCCACTGCACCCAGCCAAGTGCTTTTCTTAAAGCTTTCCTACTGAGCCTGGAAGAGTATTGATCAGAAGACCATAGTATTTAAAGCCAACTATGTTTTAGAATTTAAAGATAATTTAAAGCCAGGCATGGTGGCTCACACCTGTAATCACAGCACTTTGGGAGGTGGAGGCAAGAGGATCACTTGAGACTAGGAGTTCCAGACCAGCCTGGGCAACATAGCGAAATCTCCCCTCTCTATAAAAACAAAAACAAATTATCCAGGCATGGTGGCACATGCCTGTAGGGAGGCTAAGTGGGAAGGATCACTTGAGCGCAGGAGTTCAAGGCCACAGTGAGAAGTTATTGTACCACTGCATTCCTGCTAGGGTGACAGAGCAAGAGACCCTATCTCTTTAAAAAGGTTTAAAAATAAAAACAAAGATAACTTACAGAACTTTAAAAGTTTCATCCTTAAACCTAATATAAGTACCTATGAAAGCCTGGCTTCTTAAATAGGAGAGTGAAAAAGATGTGAGCATTTTTTACAGAAATTCAAAATAAAAGCAAGAAAATGTGATTCACATCACAAATCATTATGTATCCTAAATCAAAGAGAAATAGGAATCTAATATACAGACTGAGTATCTCTTCTCTAAAATGCTTGGGACTAGAAGTATTTTGGATTTTGGATTTTTTTTTTTTTTTAATTTTGGAATATTTACATTCTTTACCGGCTGAGCATCACAAATCCCCAAATTGGAAATTCCAGAAGCTCCAATGAGTATTTTCTGTGAGCATCATGTGGGTGCTCCAAAAGTTTGCAGCATTTCAGATTTTGCATTTTTGAATTTGGGATGCTCACCCTATAATTGTGCTAATTTTTCTAATTTAATAATATGCCATTTATATTCTGGTTATTTTCTTGATTCTTTTATTTTGATTTAGCCAGAAGGCTTGTTTGGTTTTAGAGTCTGGCTCACACACAAATATATTAAGTATAGTTGTCTAATTTTTGGACAAACTGAGTAGATCCAAGGTAGAGTATTCAATTAAATTTGGCTTTTAAAAATCATCTTTTAGGCTGGGCGCAGTGGCTTACGCCTGTAATACCAGCACTTTGGGAGCCCAAGGCAGGTGGATCACCTGAGGTTAGAAGTTCAAGACTGGCCTGGCTAACATGATGAAACGCCGTTTCTATTAAAAATACGAAAAATGGCCAGGCGCTGTGGCTCACGCCTATAATCCCATCACTTTGGGAGGCCAGTGGGGGCGGATCACCTGAGGTCGGGAGTTCAAGACCAGCCTGACCTACATGGAGAAACCCCATCTCTGCTAAAAATACAAAATTAGCCGGGTATGGTGGCACATGCTTGTAAGCCCAGGTATTTGGGAGGCTAAGGCAGGAGAAATGCTTGAACCCAGGAGGCGGAGGTCGCAGTGAGCTGAGATCATGCCATTGCACTCCAGCCTGGGCAACAACAGTGAAACTCAGTCTCTTAATAAATAAATAAAATTAAAAAATAGAAATACAAAAAAATTAGCCATGTGTGGTGGTGGGCACCTGTCATACCACCTATTCAGAAGGCTGAGGCAGGAGAATCACCTGAACCCAGGAGGCGGAGGTTGCAGTGAGCCAAGATCACACCATTGCACTCCAGCCTGGGCAACAAGAGCCAAACTCTGTTACCAGACAAATATTAGTAATAATAATAATAATAATACTCTTTTAATATGGTCATGGTATAAGGGGCTGAGAAATACATTATTATTTAACACAGTGAAGAAAAGGTAAGTCACTGATTTTGTTGTTTTGCAGCTATTAAAATAGTTTGACAAATGATCTGTATGCTTTCATTTAAGGCCCAGGGAAGAAATTCATCCTTAAAATGTACCTTGTAGTTACATTTTAAAATTAATGCATCTTCCTTTTTTCAGGTTTCTTATGAAGATGTGGATCGCTTAAAAGGATTGGCAGTTACTGAAAACATGAGGGTCCCTCACTTCCTCCAGGACCATGGCCGATATATGGAACACTTAGAGAAGATCATGGAAGTGAATGAACTGACTGACAGGGAACTGAAAGATCTTATATAGTAATTAGCATTCTGGCAAACGTAGCTAAGCTGTACCTCCATATATACTACCAATTAGGTGCAGTTAGCACCAGAAGATTTCTAAAAGAAGAATGACTGTTTACTTGTGTTTTCTGAAGAATGGTCTTCAGTATTCAGCTGAATTTTTAGGTTAAGTACAAATCTTAAACTATTTCCCCAAAAATGTTTCTATAGGCTGCAGGGGGATGTTACTCCTATTTCCTGAATCTCGACAGAGTCAGATGGAAATACTACTGCTAAGCATTTTTGAAGACTGTTGGTCAAATTGCGTGATAAATTTCTGCCTGAGCAGTTAAGCACTGGCCTGGTGCTTCTGCCTAAGTGCGGAGGCCAGCTCCAACTGGAGACTGGCTGAATCCCATTGCTGTTCAGACTCCAAAATTATATTTGTCTGATAAATAATGGTAATTATTCTTTGAAAAATTAGTTTTGTGTTGCTCCAAAAAGCTAGCTATATCTAAGCTTTCTTATTTCTTTTATATGTTAAGGAATTTTAAAGGAAGAAGAAAAGCAATTTGAAAATTTTTCATTGTTTTAACATTATTGTTTCACCTTATCAGCATATAGGAACTAAATTAGTGAATGACCTCTTTTTGTCCAGTTATCTCTTAGCTACGTTTTCATCTGTTGAAACATATTGTATCCTTTTCAATTTTTTACAGAGTTTTAACATCTTTTCCACTGCGTCCTTTATAAAAATAAGTACAAATTCCAGAGAGATTTTTCTACACAAATCAAAATAGTTGGGGAAAGGCTACTCACCTTTTCATTAAACAGAATGTGTAATAAGCAGAGGACAAATGGACCTGGGTAAATGCAGGTTCTGGATGTTGACTGGGTAGCACCTGCAGTAAACTTGACCGTGCTCTGAAAAATGAAATTCTGGGTGTTGACGGTTGATAAAGCCAGCTTTGTGCTATTGGGTCAGTATAGTTTATCAAAATCTTTGACTTCATCAACCCAGTAATGACACAATTTGAATTTTAAAATGAGAGTTGTTTTGCTATATTTCTCCTGCTAGCCTAGCTTTGTATTTTTTCCGCTTCAGTATGTATTTGGATATATATATATATGTGGATTCAGATGGTTTTCCATACAACTTAATGATTAGAAAGAATGCTGCTGCAAACACCCCACTTAAGATTGCTGCTGTAATTTCTACCCAAAGCTGTCTGAGAGTTTATCATTACCTCAGTGCAGGCCAAAATATGGTGCTAATACTGGTATATATATACTGTGAAGCCTGGTTCACATTCATGCTAGAAAATGATTTCGGGAAATCTTTTGTAGGATAGGTTACATGATTTTTCTCTTTCACATATCTAAAAGGACCTGCTTCAAAAAAGAATGTTGCAGTGAACAGGATATACTCTAGCTGGTGCCCAGAGGTTCTTTCTAAACCACGTATCTTGCTTTTGGCAGTAGAGGCTCAGACACTTTGGAGCATTGAAAGGCCTTAGCCCCTGCTCCCCCACTACATGCCATGTTGTTAGTGGTGTGTGTCCTATACATCTGTGTGCCAGGCTGGGGCAGACTGTGCCAATGCTCACCAACACTAGAATCTGCTCTTAACACCTCTAGCATGTATCTTCTTGTAGCAGAGTCATGCACTTTGAGCACTGTGTCACAGAAGTATAAACAGAAATGGCAATATTTATGTCCTATGATTCAAGCCCAAAGGTTATAAATTCAACTTTCACAGGCAGTAGCACTGCTAATCTTAAATTTGTGGTTTAAATATAAAGGAAAATCACAGCAGCCTTAATTTCCTATTGGTAGGATCATTTGCAGCAGTTCTAGTTCTTAACTTTTAAAATGGATGAATATTTTCTCTTTGATTTGGAAAAGGAACTGCTTTTTTGCCTTACTGCTTTGGTATAAAGATGAAAAATATGAGCACTCCTCAGACAAAATGACCTTAAATCACATTGATGAAGATATTTTAAAAGTTAGCAGTGAACCAAAAGTAGTTTCAGGTTAGCAGAAATAAAGAACTTTTAAGCTTTAAAATTTGAGATTGAATATTTAATGAAAGTTTGTTGTTTCTTTTTCCTGAGATAGCAGTAAGGTCAGTTTTGTTCCCTAAAATAAAAAGTTTTAATAAACAAAATTATAGCAAGACTACTTAGAATAGTTGAAGATTGTTTTAATTTAATTATAATAGTTATTCATCATAGGCTATTAAAGATTAGAATTTCATCAGTTTTGTCCACTACAATTTTAAAAATAGTTGTATCAAATACAAATTCTGATAAACTGTTAGGTTTTAACACCAGACAGGATTCAAAGTAAATTAATGTTTGCAAACATCAATCCATAGTCTTCATTTCTGTATATTTTCACCTTTGTAAAAGTGTTTAAAATTTGTATTGTTTGTTTTGTATATCTTTGGGCATTTTGTGTCTAGCTATAATAAAAAGAAACAGTGCCGAGGTTCTCAGATGAGGTATGTGGCTATATATGCATGTAACTTCTTTTCTTTGCAAACCCAATTATATTTTTATTGTTGTGTTTCTTGTTTTTTATTTTGTGGTAATTGTCAAAAGGACATCAGTCATGCTTGTCTTCTAGTGCTGTTACTTCTTAGAAAAATATTACATTTACTACACTTCACCTTTTTCCTGCTTATTTTAGCTTATACTCTCATGGGACATATGGAGAAAGGAAAAGGAAGAGGGTGTGTTTGTCTGTTCTCACACTGCTAATAAAGACATACTCAAGACTGTGTAATTTATAAAGGAAAAAGGCTTAATGGACTCACAGTTCATGGCTGGAGAGATGTCACAATCATGGCGGAAGACGGAAGAGCAAAGAGATGTCTTACATGGTGGCAGGCAAGAGAGCATGTGTAGAGGAACTCCCCTTTATAAAGCAATCAGATCTCATTATTCAGTATCATGAGAACAGCACAGGAAAGACTCACCCCCATGATGCAATTACCTCCCACGGGATCCCTTCCACAACACATGGGAATCATGGGAGCTACAATTCAAGATGAGATTTGGGTGAGGACACAGCCAAACCATATCAGAGGGACATGTTTTTTTTTTTTTTTTTTTGAGTCAGAGTTTTGCTTTTGTTGCCCAGACGAGTGCAATGACGTGACCTTGGCTCACTGCAACCTCAACCTCCTGGGTTCAAGTGATTCTCCTGCCTCAGCCTCCTGAGTAGCTGGGATTACAGGTATCTGCCACCATGCCTGGCTAATTTTTTTCTTTTGTTTTCTTTTTTTCCCCCAACCTTTGTTCTTCCCCATGACTGGCTAATTTTTTGTATTTTTAGTAGAGACAGGGTTTCACCATGTTGACCAGGCTGCTCTCAGACTCCTGACTTCAGGTGATCCACCTGTCTCAGCCTCGCAAAGTGCTCGGATTACAGATGTGAGCCACCGTGCCTGGCCTCAGAGGGACAATTTTGTCTTATAAACTTTTATGCAGAACGTATCAAGCAGAATCTGTGCTGATCACCAGAGATCCTCTGATGAACAAGAGAAGAGAAGAGGCACAGAAGAAGGTTATGGCACAGCCACAGTCCCGTGACCAAAAAGTGCTGCAGAAAGAATATACACTGTGGTCAGTGGGCCTGCCTGTGTGTTTGAAGCAGAGAGGAAGATCATTTGCTAAATGTAATTGTTCACAGGATTTCATTACTGTTTTTTGCAAGGCTTAGCTTAGAACAAAAGCACCTTCCCAGGGGAAGTAGTAGACCAGGAATGCAGTTGCTTGGGTCATCAAAGGCCTATGGACGACCCCTGAGACCTCCTGCAGATGCCCATGGGAGCTGACACTGTATCCTTAAGAAGATGAGCCTGAAGCAGGGACAGAGAGGAGAGTGTGGTGCCCTCACCCGTCAGGGGCAAGTAACCAGGTATATTAGTTTTCATGGTGCTGATAAAGACATACCTGAGAATGTATGCCTTTGGGAAATATACCAAAGAAAGCAGCTTGTTGCACTTACAGTTCTACATGGCTGGGGAGGCCTCACAATCATGGTGAAAGGTGAAAGATGAAGGTGTCTAACATCTCACATGGCAGCAGATGAGAGTTTGTGCAGAGAAACTCCCCCTTATAAAACCATCAGATCTCATGAGACTTATTCACTACCATGAGAACAGCATGGGAAAGACCTGCCCCCCTGATTCAATTACCTCCCACCAAGTCCCTCCCACAACATGTGAGAATTCAAGATGAGATTTGGGTGGGGACACATTCAAACCATATCATTCCAGCCTGGCCTCTCCCAAATCTCATGTCCTCACATGTCAAAACCAATTATGCTTTCCCACAGTCCCCCTAAAGTCTTATTAACTCAAAAGTCCAGAGTCCAAAGTTTCATCCAAGACAAGCCAAGACCCTTCTGCCTATGAGCCTGTAAAATCAAAATCAAGTTAGTTACTTTCTAGATCCAATGGGGATACAAGCATTGGGTAAATGCAGCCATTCCAAATAGGAGAAATTGGCCAAAACAAAGGGGTCAAAATCTAGTGGACAGTCAGATTTTAAATCTCCAAAATGATCTCCTTTGACTCCATGTCTCACATCCAGGTCATGCTGATGCATGACATGGGCTCCCATGGACTTGGGCAGCTTCACCCCTGTTGCTTTGCAGCCCCCCTCCTGGCTGCTTTCACTAGCTGGTGTTGAGTGTGGCTTTCCCAGGTGCACAGTGCAAGCTGTCAGTGGATCTACGAGTCTGGAGGATGGTGGCCCTCTTCTCACGGTTCCACTAGGTGGTGACCCAGTAGGGAGTCTGTTGGGGCTCCCACCCCACATTTCCCTTTTGCACTGCCCTAGCAGAAGCTCTCCATGAGGGACCCCCCCCGCAGCAAACTTCTGCTTGGGCACCCAGGCATTTCTATACATCCTCTGAAATCTAGAAAGAGGTTCCCAAACCTCAATTCTTGACTTCTGTGCACCCGCAGGCTCAATACCACATGAAAGCTGCCAAGGCTCGGGGCTTCCACCATCTGAAGCAACAGCCCAAGCTGTGCCTTGCCTTTGCCCCTTTTAGTCACTGCTGGAGCAGCAGACGCAGGGCACCAAGTCTCTACACTGCATACAGCACAGGGACCCTGGCCCCAGGCCATGAAACCATTTTTTCCTCTTAAACCTGAGGGCCTGTGATGGGAGGGGCTGCCACAAAAGTCTCTGACATGCCCTGGAGACATTTTCACCATTGTTTTGGTGAATAACATGCAGCTCCTCTCTTGCAAATTTCTGCAACCAGCTTGAATTTCTCCTCAGAAAATGGGATTTTCTTTTCTATCACATTGTCAGGCTGCAGATTTCCCAAACTTTTATATACTGTTTGCCTTTCAAAACTGAATGCTGGCCTGGTGTGGTGGCTCATGCCTGTAATCCCAGCACTTTGGGAGGCCAAGGCAGATCACCTGAGGCCTGGAGCTTGAGACTAGCCTGGCCAACATGGTGAAACCCTGTCTAGTAAAAATACAAAAATTAGCTGGATGTGGTGGCACAGGCTTGTAATCCCAGCTACCTAGGAGGCTGAGGCAGGAAAATTGCTTCAACCTGGGAGGCTGAGGTTGCAGTGAGCTGAGTTCACACCACTGCACTTCAGCCTGGGTGACAGAGTAAGACTCTGCCTCAAAAAAATAAAAAAAATAAAAAATAAAAAACAAACCTGGATGCCTTTAACAGCACCCAAGTCACTTCTTCAATGCTTTGCTGCTTAGAAATTTCTTCTGCCAAATACCCTAAATCATCTCTCTTAAGTTCAAAGCTCCAAAAATCTCTAGGGTGGGGGCAAAATGTCACCAGTCTCTGCTAAAACATTACAAGTCCAGTTCCCAGCAAGTTCCTCATTTCCATCTAAGACCACCTCAGCCTGGATTTCATTGTCCGTATCATTGTCAGCATTTTGGTCAAAGCCATTCAACAAGTCTCTGGGGAGTTCCAAACTTTCCCACATTTTCCTGTCTTCTTCTGAGCCTTCTAAACTGTTTCAATCCCTGCCTCTTACCCAGTTCCAAAGTTGCTTTCACATTTTCAGGGATCTTTTCAGTAGCACCCACTCCTGGAACCTATTTAATATATTTTCATGCTGCTGATAAAAACATACCCAAGACTGGGCAATTTATAAAAGAAAGAGGTTTATTGGACTTACAGTTTCACGTGGCTAGGGAGGCCTCATAGTCATGGCAGAAGGTGAAAGAGATGTCTTACATGGCAGCAGACAAGAGAGCTTGCGCAGGGAAACTCCCCCTTATAAAACCATCAAATCTTGTAAGACTTATTCACAATCATGAGAACGGCGTGGAAAAGATCTGCCCC